GCGCTGTAGGTGCTGGTTGAGGCTTTTACGATCCTGACTCAAGCAGTGCTTTTGGACGATGTAAGGGAAAGGTCGGAATGTCGTGCCTCCAGACGTTTGCAAGCAGAAAAGTAGGGTATGCTTCGCTCCGCATCGATTGCTCACAAGTCTCCAGACTATGAGCTTTAGACTCAATTCGTGGGGAACTGTCGTAGGGCGTTCTCCCTTCCCGGAACACCCAGCCTCGAGGGTTTTCTTTGGTTTTTGCGGGCAATGAACAGCTGTCTGCCAACCATTGGGAGCATGTGGATTCTTCCTTCCGGGCTTTCGACCCAGAGCCAAATTCCTCGATACCTTGCACAATTCCTCCGGTCGAAGCCAATAGCCCATGCAGCTCCCGACTGCCTCAAAACCGAAGGAGCCCTTCCATGATTGCTTTCATGGAAGCCGAGGTAGAACCAGGGGAACCTGCAAGCTCTGACAGAACCCTTCATGGGCTTAGGGTTGAGGGTTACTGGAGCCCGAATAGAACCCTTCAAGGAGGAAGCCGGCTCGTTGGTTTCGGTTTCCGTTTTTGGAACAGTCTTTCAACCTCGGCACCTGCCCCTCTCTGGACATCGAGCCCTTCCAAACGAGCTCCTGTCATCTTCTGGAACTCAAATCTTGAATCTGAGAAGGCAATCTGAGAAGGCAGACGCTGCCTCCCTCTCTCTCTCTCTCTCTCTCTCTCTCTCTCTCTCTCTCCTTCAGGCTGCAGCAAGAGGCCGTAGCTTTCAATTCCGTGCTCAGCGCTTCCGAGAAGGGTCCGGGGCTCAAAGCTTTCGCCGCTGGGAGTGTTGAGACAAGGCTTTAGGGTTTAGGGTTTCGTGTCATTCTCGCTTCAGTAGAGAATCAGCAGTGGCACCTCCGAAGAGCTCTGGATGTCCCACATCCAAAACATAAGACCCTGGACCCAAAGGCTCTTGATCATAACTCGACCCTGAAAGCCCCAAATGTTTGAAATCCTAAATCCAAACACCCGAAAACTAAACCCGACATCCTTGGCCCTGCACCCCTAGAGCCTTTGAGGCCTTAGATGTTCTACATTCCCGTTTTTTCGTGAGGCCGGCGTTGGCAACATGGCCTTGGGCTTTGGATGTCACTGGGCGCTGTGGCTGTGTCTGGTGGCAACTGGGCTTCCGTTTATAGGCTGTTGTGATTCGGTGTTCTAGGGCTGAAAAGCTTAGGGATTTGCATCTTAGGGGTTTAGGGTCGAGAGAAACCCTGAATCCCAGACCCGGAGTCGAAATTACAGCCTGCAAGCACTGAACTGTCCCCCAGGTGTAGGCAGAAGTAACAGCGATCTGTTGGCAGGGAGTTCTATTCGGAGGCGGCTCTTTGTCTTACGATGTTCCCAGATCATTGGAGGGTATTCCGTGCTGCTGTACTTGGGAGTTGAATAAGGTTCTGGCTCGATACACGTAGCTGCTAGCGCTACGAGTGCTACTGCTAGAACTGCTACTTCTGCTGCTGCTGCTGCTGCTACTGCTACTACTACTACTACTACTACTACTACTGCTACTACTGGTAATAACAATAACAATAACAATACTAATATAATAATAATCATAATAATAATAATAGCAGTAACAAAACTAAAGCTGTCAAGCTTCTGCCGTACAAAAGCCCTGCAAGTCCAAGCCCAGGTCAGCTTGCTCTGAAGGCTATTGCCGCCTCCACTGATCCATCAGAGACGCTCCGCCAAGTTGGTACGTGCTCTTGTGCCTTTGTGGTTAACGGGCCTTGAGCAGTAGGCAAGTAAATCAGAAATTCGTAAGTTCAGTACTGAGTGCCTGTGTGTGTCCGTGCTGAGCCCTGAACAGGTGGCAGCGTGTATTGATCCTGTGCCCGCCCCAAACGTCAGATGCGGCTCCTTGGTCGCTGTCCATGTAGAGCTGTGGACCGGAGCAGTCTCATCTCTTCTAGGGTGCCTTGGAGTTTCCGTAACTGCAGGGATAGCAGTACGAGGGAATCGCCATTACTGCATTGCTAAGCATCGATCATTGCTGATGGCCACCGTCACAGCTGGCGCGAGCGAGAATACCGGTATACCAGTTTTGCCGCTGACACTCCTCCGCGCCTAGGAACACTACAGCAATTAAGCCCTTAACTTGACGAGCACGAGCGAGCTTGTCAATGTCGTTTGTCCACAACCAACCTTTAGTAGTCACTTTCGTGGCAACCATGTTGAAAGTGGTACTGGCCATCACGACAACAGTGTGTTTTAGGAGTACTGGGTAATACTTGTTTCGAATGCAAAAGATGAAGACAAATGTAGGACTGCAGACAATCGAGTCGTCATCAGAGCAATACATACGGCCGCACCTTGAGGATGACAAACGGTGCAAACGGCAAACTCGTCAGGGCAGCACCAGTCTTTCGAATTCCAGCACCTTATAAGCGACAAGAGCAGCTGCAGCAATGGTTGTCAGCAGTAATGGGCGCAATGCTAGTGATTACTAGTGGACTCGCAACACACTTGCCAGTTTTGACTTTAGTCCCGGATGCTCGAAGGAATTATTTGAAGGTCTGGTAAGAGTGGCTACTCAGACAAAGTCAGTAGTGGGAACACGACACCGACAAAGTACGTACTATAATTCACAGCAGAGGGAAGGGATCATCATCATCATCACCATCATCAACATCAACAGCAGCAGCCAAAGCAAAAAGCAGTCGACCCCTTCTAGCCACCCTTGTAGAATATCACAGTATAGAATCCTGTAAAGGAACCACAATGCGTAACCCACCTTGCAGAAGTGAGCTTCTCCACAAGGTAACCTGCGAGGCAGTGATCACCACATGCCGCGCCCTTGGGTTTAGGAGTCCGACGCGCTGAACTTCACTATGCGGTTTCTATTATATTCAACTTGTAGCAAGTCTGACTCGGCATGGAAGCTCGTGGGATTGTGATGATGGTTATCATGATGACGATTGTGATGGCGACGATGCCTCATCTCTGTTTAGATGTTGGTGACGACGCCAGCTCCTGGGAAACATTCCTTCCGGGCTTTCGGTGCTAAGACTCTGCCTCAGCCCCAGAACCCACAATGGCACATGAAGCTCGCCTATCTTTACCTTACCTATGTGTGTGTGTATATGTATTTATATGTACATATGTGTATATAAACAAATATACATATACATACATATATATATATATGCATATGTATATATATATATGCATATATCTATGCATACACATATATATATATATAGGCATATATATATATACATATACATATATATATATACACATATATGTATATATATATATGTGTATATATATATGTGTATATATATATGTAGAAATGCAGAAAGTCTCCATGGTACCCGTAGTTCCTTGGGTGGTTAATGCATGGGGTCTTATAACTTTTATAAGTGGTCAAATCAAAAAGGTTTGCTTACGATCGGAGTCAGGGTATTCAGTGCTGAGCGCAGCTGGGACATCGTACCCATCTTTTTCAGACCCATGTTGAATCTTCGACAGAGGTCTTCATACCGCTGGTTTCTCCAAAAGAATCTGCCGTGAGCCGGAATACTTCTGGAGTTTGCACGAACTGCAAAGTGCACGGTTGTCGGGAACTGTGGCTCATGTCCAGTCGAGGACAGTAGCATGGCGTGTGCGGCACAAACATCAGGCCGGCCACAAACTATGCTTCAAGCTGACAAGGCAGAATATTAGTATGTTTGCATTGTCAATTACTGCTGGTCTAGATGAAGATGGCAGCAAGCAAGACAAGAATACCAATGACAATTCTAACAGCAAGTACAAAATCGCATGAGCACAGCCCACTTCCCACTGAGTTCAAACAAGCAACACACGTAGGAGGCTGGAAGCCACCCGCAAACGTGGGATGCTTCCAGAAGTGCCATCAGGAGTGCTTCTAGCATGAGCATCTCCTCTCGCTTTGCTGCTTGCTTCTCCTCGCCAAGCCTCAAGGCTTTAGATGCAGGTGGGTGCTTGGCATACTGGGGTTGAATTCTTCAGTAGTAATATCCCCTATGGGTCCCGTTCATCAGTCTAGTAAAAAAAATCCCCAAAAATCCCCAAACATTGTTGAAACTTCTTAGGGCATAACAACGCCAGGGCTGCGACGTTTATTCCGCTTGGGGGCAGCTTCGGTCAGGTTATGACCTGCGGAACTCGAGGCCTCAACACTAGCTCAGCCTACCAAAACCGGATCCCTACAAATAAAGTCTAGGTTTAGGGCATAGGGTTTAGGTATAGACTCTACATTCAATTTCAGAATAAGAACTTCCCAAAACGTGGGTTCTGTCATTTCAATGTAGCCCTTCACTCCCCCTAAACCTTAGCCCTAAAACCCCAACCCCAACCCTAGTCCCGAAACCCTAGCCCTTCAATCCTCACTGACCAGAAGCACAGAGCTACACTCAGGTGTTGATCTGACTTGGCGGAGTTCGCCACACTATTGAGAATAAGATTCTCAGGTTCATGTAATGTAGGCGGCTTAACAGATAGACTAGGGCTTTGGAGTTTACTGTACTTCTAGTACGGAGCCCCAAAGTAGTATTGGCAAGTGTTCAGGCCCCTAAAAATACCTAAGTTCTGCAGGTGTGGGTTTTAGGGTTTAGGGGTTCGTTTCTATGCCGCTCTGGTTTTTGTGTCTCTGCTCTATGTTGGCAATCTTAGTAAGAGGAGCCGGCATCTATTAGCAGTGTCAGCGCTACTACCTTGTCGTACTGCTTTGCATGATGTTATGGCTCGAGCTGCCAAACCTGGACTTTTCTTCGATGGTGTGTTAAAATTCAGGTGCTAAAACAGATCTCTTTACAACGAAAGTGACACAGCGGTGCCGCGTCGATGTAGCTTCATCCAAACAACCACCAAACAAGAACACCGACCAAGGAAAGGCCAACAACTGCAAGATGATTACACACCCTACCTCAGCCATGTTGTGGCCCTTCACACTTCCCCTCAGCGCCCTCTGATTCTGCAGAGCCCAAGTCGAGTTTGTTCCGCCATGGTTGGTCTGCGAGATGGGCGCAGTGCTCTGACCATGCTGCTGCTGCTTCTTCCGGTACTGGGAAGATACGACCACGAGGCCAGTTTTCTGTCAGAGGTGTGGGTTTAGGGCTTGGGGTTTAGGGTTTAGGGTTTAGGTTTAGGGCTTTAGGGTTTCAGCTTAGGGGGTTTAGGGTTTCCTTTCGGGGTTTGTTTTAAACCTAGGGGTTTAAGGTTCAGGGTTGTGCAGGAAGAGGCATGTGCGTACGTATGTAGATTTACAAAGCTACTGGACCTAAAGAAGCACTTCGCGAGAGACATACCTGCAACTCCCTTTTGCCTACTGTGGTGCTAGAGGCACAGTGTTCAGAGAATCTGTCAGGAGTAACTGTTTTCGGCTCACTCCTGAACTTCTGGGGAAATATGGGAAAGAAATACACTCACGGGACAGGTTTTTAGCCGCTGGTTCTACTCAATTCCTGAATTTCTAGCAAGCCGTTGGCCACAGGCTTTGTCACAGCGTGTTGTCTTGGCAGCAGCTGAGGGTTTGCTCCAGTCCCCAACCCGACAAGACCGCTTCACCGTAGCCGCTGCACAGGTGAATGAAGCCCTTGGCCGACGTTTGAGGTCAAGAGAAGCCTGGCCATTTCTATAAGTTTCAGGGAGTTGCACCCGTGTTGTACAGGTGTGGCCAAAATGGCAATGTATCCTTTCTCATAGATCCTAATGGGTGGTTCCGGAGCATGCCGTAGAGTGTTTACTGATGTCGTTATTGCTGGCCCTGCTTCCTGCCTCAAGTTTCGGCGTGAAATTGCCAAGGAGCTGCCAGAAGGACTGCGTTTGAAGGAGGCAGGCGCTTTCCAGAAGTGAGTGATAGCTGATCAATGAGATACATCGACTTTAGTCGGTACTCACAGTGCGGACTTCGGGGGTGGTCTTTCGTGTTTTGGTATTACTCCATTGCCATGCCTGATTCTGGTATTGTCATCCGTTTTGTACCAGCATGTCGGGTTTTGCATTGTTCGTAGCGCGTCTTGGAATCATTGCCAGCCTTGCCGTTCTTAGCTCCGCTTGTTCGAGCCGGACGGTTGCAGATTCCAGAGTCCGAAGGGGCATACGTGTACACATATATATATATATATATATGTATGTATGTGTGTGCGTATGTAGCTATGTCTGCCTGTCTGTCTGTCTGTCTGTCTGTATGTATGTATGTGTGTATATTTAAATTCATATATCTATTTATATTTCGTTATAACTATATTTTAGCTCTGGCACTGGCAGCTCAGGTAGGATGATAGTTGCCACCGTTTGCCTATGCTGCTTAAACCCCTGAAGACTCCAGTCCAGCGATTCAGATTTCTGCAACAGCCGGTCCGATTCGGTGGTGTTCCACCGGGCTTGCGCATGCTTGAGCAGTTCAGCGCCGAAGTTTCAGCGCTGTCTTTTGGATAATCCTCACACATAGGACTGTTGAGCGGCGGAGCAGGAAGAATAAGCATGTTTGTTTTTTCCGCAACTACCGGGAAGTGTACCCGAAAAAGCAATGGTTGCATGAGGAGTCCTAAGGGCGCGTTGTCGCTCGCGCGTGGATGCGTGGCATCAAAGCAGGTCGACAAACCAACGTAGAGTGAAACGTTCGGTAGTGACACATCTAGTCCGGAGCCTCCCTCAAGACAGAGCCACCGAGCCACCCCGATGGGCCATGACTGGTCATTGTATCACATAGAGTCGGCCGACTTCTCCTGACACTTCCGGAGGAGCTGAACACCAGCCTTGCTTTGTACGTCTTTCCTACCTGGGACCTGTGCCTTGCTTCGCACGGATACCCGACGCGGATTTCCACGGTTCTTTCGCACGTTTACACCCCAAAGCCTATTCTAAGTATTCAGGTCTGCAGTTGTTACGGTATCATATACGCCTCGAAGCCCTATTTTAGCTAGGCAGGGCCCGCACACCAGGGCCTTTGGAATTTCAGTGGCCATTGAGGTCGCAGATCTGGGTTCGAGACTAATCGGTTGGCTTCTGAATTTCACATGGCTAGTCGCTAAAACAGGGCGTTTTTTGGGTCCCCCAAAATATTACGGCACCCTTGTAAATAGGAGCCGAAAAGGGGCCCTTAATTTAGAGAACTACCCATATAGGGGCTTTAGTGATTCGACTCGGTAGTTGGGATATTGGGAATTTCAACCATATGGGACCGTAAGGGAAAGTATCCGTAGCTGTATAGGCTTCAAAACCCATAGGCCCCGAAGTAGTTCCTTTTTGGGATTACCTCATAGGATTCTAAATATGAACCATAAAAAGGTAATAAAAAGGAACTACTTAGGGGCCTATGGGTATTTCCAAACCCAGGTTCCTTGGCTTCAGCGACCGGCACAAGAACATCCAGGGGAAGATGAGCTTGACCTTCTTCTACTATGCGGAGTCACTCAGGCAGTCGGGTTTAGGGTTGAGGGTTTAGGGAAATAAGACCAGCTAACGAGGGGCTTGCTTGCTTGCTTGGGCTCTTAAGTTGCTACATGACGCAGGGCGATAATGTTTCTCAAACTGCCAGCTTGGTACTCGGGAAAACTAACTACAGGCATTGCATTGGAAAGAGTACGGTAGCATATAGAGACCTACATATTTAATTACTAATACTACACTGGGGTTCCTCATTATAAGTGCGATATAGTATACACAACAACCCTCTCTAATTACTAAGAACCCTACATTACGATCACGGTAGTTGTTTTTTTGTTATTTCTTGTGCGGGCTCCAAAACGCCATTGTGGAAAAGGTTCCCGACTCCGGTGGGCACCTTACGATAGACCGACCAGGCAGCTGCGCTCTGTAATTGTTTTCGGGGCAGTATTACGGTTGAGGGGTTAGGGGTTTAGGGCTTCGGGTTTAGGTGGTTAGAGTTTAGGGTTTAGGGTGCGGCACCGAATCCCTAAACCCTCAACCCCAATCCCGGCAAAAAGCTCCGTATGATCCCGCTCCCAGGAGCAACCGGACAGATTCTAGAGATTTCGTCATTGCCTAGTCTAGTGTTGGATGCTTAGGTGATATAGAAGCCGAACTAATTAGTAATAGCATGACCTTGGAGCGTCTTTACAACTATACTACAATATACCACCCACACCCTACGTATTCTTTCAAAGTCCTGTACCAGTTTGCCAGTTTAAGGTTTGTGAACTTCTGCCAGCTGCCAGTAGGATTCTCTCGAACGACAGATGTCCCTTCATCATTTTGGCATGTTGCTTGTGTGGCGCTTTTGTCAATGCTAGTGTAGTGTGCTTCACCGAACCATGACCCTATGCGTGTCTGAAGAAGTAGATGCCGTCTCTTCGTGCTACATTACATGCTCGCGATTTGCAGTATACCTATAGTCTTGGATGCAGTTCCTTTTGGGGCTTCCTTTTCGGATCCTAGTTATAACCACTAAAACGAACTACAACGGAGACTATGGGCATAGAAGATTGCTTTCAATTCCTTGGCCAGGATTGTTTCCGATCCACAGCTCATTGTCACTGTTGACAACTTCGGAGACGGAACACGGCATCTTGACAAATTCGGGCTTCTGAAGACGAGGGTCCATTGTTTGAACGGTCCGAAACATACAGCTTCTATATACGATTCAGTTGGTATCAGGTTCGATCTATGGGCCACTTACTTGCTGAAACTCCCGCTTCAGTCAAGTATTGGCGCCGAGGTTCTTGCGGGCTTCGGGTTGTGAAGAGGTCAGGGCAGGTTTCGGCATCCCGCGTGTGCAAGTACATTAGCCCAGAGACTCCAATACCCCTTAATTAAGGGATATACCTTAAATTATAGTAAGATGCCTAATACGATTTAATTAAGGTACATGAAGTCAGGCATCAGGTTGCCTCTTTGCACACCTCCGAGTCCAAGCCTCTGTCCGAAGCCTTGCTCCTTCTCTTTCGTTCGATCATAACAAAATGAAATATAAGATAATAACATATAATATAATAAGATATAATTATAATATAATAAAGTATGTATTATAATAGAATATAACCTTGAACGCGGCTTAGAGGCAAGCATCCTTTGCCTCAAACTGAGCTGCAATAACCTCTCGCTCGACCCAGGGCCGTCATGTAACCCCAAACCCAATGCTTCTGCTCTAATGCTCAATCCGCAAGCCCCAACTCATGAAAGTCTTGCAGCCCAGCAGGTACCTCCAAGGAAAAATCAACCTCCTCGATGCACAGGGGTATGAGCTCTTCACAACCAGCAGCCTGTTGCCAATCTACGGTTTAGGCTTTTGGGTCTAGGGCATATAGGTGTTCACCGCGCTTTGACAGTTAAGTCCATTCTTTGCTGAAGGACCTTTTTGAGGCCTGCATCGACAGCTAATGGACTGAAGGACGGTGTTGGTCTTTGATGTTTTTTTCTTCGCCGTTTGGTTTTTCATGCAGGCAACATTTACGTTGGGTCCTTCTCGCAGCAGCAGTCGAATTTCGATCATCTCTGCTATCCTTTCGATAACAAGACCGTCAAGTTCGACATCAGTATTCAGGCACCTGGAAATTACATCTTCGATCTTGCCCTTCTGTGCCCGGAGCCGCTGCTGGCAGAGAACACAAGCTACGGTGGAGAGGAGATTGTTACCAAGTGCACCTACCCTGCAGAGGGCATGTCCTTGGGCTTCGAGTGGGGCCAATTCATTTGCGAGGCCAGGACGCATGCGGGGAGCGTTTTGTGGGAGAGTTTTCCAACTCGACGATGAACCTTGCCGAGTAATGCACCACCAGCTGGACATGCCGCGAGGGTTGGGGTGGGTGTAGGTGTGCAGCATATGTCAACAGCTTGGCGCCGCCCACGTCGACCACATGCATTTTACTCGCAACCCCCAGGCACTTTCAGGATACAAAAACCAGAGTACATGTCGCTAGTGGTGGCTAGCATGTTGCAGGCCACAGTACGAGAATTGTATGATAGTGTGATGCGTGTGTATATGTACTGTGTGATTGCTGAAACTTTTTGAGTGCATTCAGATGGTCACAGCATGGTTTCGGTTGACAAGCAACTGCACATGCCCCATTCCGCATCAGTCGGTTCGAGGTATATGGGAACTTTCTTAGCTGTATCTCGAAGCGGCCTCTGGGGAGTGAACTCGGTGCTTACATGTTTGGTCGCGAGCTTGGGTTGCTTTGTAGCCTTGTTTTGGTGGACATTGGGATGGCTTGAGCATGTGCTGTTGCTAGCCAATGTCACGACATGAGATACATTGAGTAGGCCTGCGCAACATTTACTAGTCCCCGAACAGTCAGAAACTTGGGACGTCCAGGGGTCGGAGGCCCAATCCACTAGCATCAGGCTTCAAACGGCCAAGACAGTGAGATGGAGAGATAAGGAGAGTTCCGAATTTCCCCGAAGGGTCAAACGCCCGAAAGTCTGCGGACAAAAAGCTGACTTGATAGAAAGCTGAGAAGAGCTTGACATCGCCAGGCGAAAGAAGCTCAGAAGATCCAGTGCTCGATGACCGGAGTCCGGGAATGGTTCAGCATCTTCAAGGCAAGAGGCTTTGGCTTAGGGCTTCGGGCATCGAAGCTGTGAGCTTCGAGGTCGAAGGGCAGGGTCTGCAACATGTGATGATCTTGTAAGCATTACATCGTGTTCCGGTTCTGGTATACCGTTCTCGAAAGCATTGCGGCGGGTTGACTGTCCATGCATGCAACTCATTGCTTGCCCGAGGTGTGTATGTGACTGTATGTGACCTATACCGCCTAGGGAGAACATGCGTCTCTCCTCAAGCTGACTTCCAGGGCTCCCACGAACAGATTGTCACACACGTAACGTGAGTTCATGAAGCAAGTTTTCTTCTCTGAAAGCTGAGGTTGGTCGAGGTCAAAGCTCTTGCCTATCCGTTTGACTTGCACATGACAAGCGTGGGGACGCCCTCAAACAAGTGAAGTTAATCCTATCCCCCAAATATTAAACCAACAGATATTCGGAAAGTGTTTTTATTATTAGGGTGCATTTTTATCTCTACTGTCAGATTTTGTACACTTACGGCCGCTCCGCACAGGCAGGCTCAACGACGGCCTGTGAAACCTGACTTAGTCGTTTCAGACAGACAGGCAGTCTGGCCTGCAGATTTAGCAGAGTGTGAGGCAGGCTTCGACAGCCACGCTCACAGACCGAGCTGCAG